ATAAAAATGTTGTCTCACTCCATTCAATAGGAATTTTATATGCAAAGGAACACGTTTAACCAGTATAGGGCCAACCTGCAAGTCATGATTTTTACAGAAATTTCTGCTTTATAAATTTGGTTTAGGATTTTTATAGCTAAGTTGATGAAGGATATTGGCATGCAGTATTCTTTTCTGTAATGTCCTTGTTAGATTTTGATATCAGAGTTATGCTGGCCTCAGAAAAGGAGTTGGCAAGAGTTCTCTCCTCGTATATTCTTTTAAAAAGTTTGTGTAAACAGCTTGGTATTATTTCCTCCTTATATTTTGGTAGAACTCATCAGTGAATTCTATAGTCTAGAAGAGTTTTGGAGTGGGAAGATTTCTGTTCAATAAAATTTTCTGTTCAATTTCATTGAAATAAGACTGTTCAGATTTTGTATTTCCTTTTTTTTCAATATTTTATTTATTCATTTGAGAGAGCAAGAGAGAGTGAGAGAGAGCACAAGCATGGAGACTGGCAGGCAGGGGAGAGAGGGAGAAGCAGACTCCCCATGGAGCAGGGAGCCTGATGCGGGGCTCGATACCACCCCCCCGGGATCATGACCTGAGCTGAAGGCAGATGCCCAACTGCCTGAGCCACCCAGGAGCCCCTCTGTATTTCTTCTTATGCTCATTTCAAAAAGTTTTTTTTTTAGGATCCCTTTATTTATTTGAGAGAGAGACAGAGAGAGAAAGAGAGAAGGCACACAAGTGGAGGGAGGGGCAGAGTGAATCTTCAAGCAGTCTCCCCGTGGAGCATGGAGCCCGACGTGGGGATTGATTCCATAACCCATGAGATCACGACCTGAGTGGAAGCCAAGAGCCGGATGCTTAACTGATTGAGTTACCCAGGCGCCCCTCAAAAAGCTGTTTTAATGGAAAGTGTCCATTTCCCCTAAGTTGTCAAACTTATTGGCATAAAGTTGTTCATATATTTCCCTATTATCCTTTTGATGTCTGTAGGATTTCAAGTGATGTCTTCTTTTTCATTCCTAATACTGTTAATTTACCTTTTTTCTTATTTTCTTGATTAGTATTGCCAGAGGCTTATCCACTTTAATCTTTTTTTAAATTTTTATTTATTCATGAGAGACAGAGAGAGAGAGGCAGAGACATAGGCAGGGGGAGAAGCAGGCTCCCTGCCAGGAGCCTGATGTGGGACTCGATCCCAGGACCCTGGGATCACAACCTGACGCTCAACCACTGAGCCACAGGTGCCTTATTACTCTTTTCAAAGAACCAACTATTGGCTCTTTCCCTAAGCAGCCTGGGTGACCTCTGAAAATGGCTCACTATTTGGTCAACCCAGAAAACCCTACAAAATCATGTAAATCAAGAGGTTCAAATCTTCGTGTTCACTTTAAGAACACAGATGAAACTGCCCAGGCCATCAAGGGTATGCATATCTGAAAATCCACCAACCATCTGAAAGATGTCACTTTGCAGAAGCAGTGTGTGCCATTCCATCGCTACATGATGGAGTTGGTAGGTGTGTCCAGGCCAAACAGTGGGGCTGGACACAGGGTCAGTAGCCCAAGACGAGTATAGAATTTTTATTGCACATGCTTAAAAATGCAGACAGTAATTCTGAACTTAAAGGTTTAGATGTAGATTCTCTAGTCACTAAGCACATCCAGGTGAACAAAGCCCCTAGGATATGGTGTAGAATTTACAGGGCTCATGGCTGGATTAACCATACATGAGCTCTTCCTGCCACATCATCTGATCCTTACTGAAAAAGAGCAGATTGTTCATAAACCAGAAGGGGAGGTTGCACTGACGAAAAAGATATCCTAGAAGAAACTGAAGAAACAAAAACTTATGGTCTGGGAGTAAATTCTGTGTAGAATATATGCAATCCCCCCAAAAAAAACTCCAACTACTGGATTTCTTGATCTTCTCTATTGCTTGCCTATTTCCATTCCACTGACTTTTTAAAAAGATTTTATTTATTTGAGAGACAGTGAGAGTGAGAGAGATTTCAGAGGGAAGGGAGAAGTAGACTCACCCCTGAGCAGGGAGCCCAATGCAGGGCTTGATCCCAGGACCCTGAGATCATGACCTGGGCCAAAGGCAGACACCCAACTGATGAGCCACCCAGGTGCCCCTATTCCATTGACTTCTGTTCTTCCTACTCTCAGAGTTTATTTTTTATTGTAGTAAAGAGCACATACAATTCACCACCTTAACCATTTTTAAGTGTACACTTCAGTAGTGGTTAATTATATTCACATTGTTTGTGAAACAGATCTCCATCTGGCAAATCTGAAACTCTATATCCATTAAATAGTAACTCCCCTTTCTGGCTTCCCCCAGCTTCTGGTAACCACCATTCTATTTTCTGTGTCTATGAATTTGGCTTAGATACCTCATATAAGTGGAATCATATGGTATTTGTCTTTTTTGCGACTGGCCCATTTCACTTAGCACATTGTTTATGTTGCAGCGTGTGACAAGATTTCCTTCCTTTTTAAGATGGATGAATATTCCATTTTCCTGTCCATGGACATTTGGGTTGCTTCTACCTCTTGGGTATCATGAATGAACATAAATGTTTATATGTGCTATGAATGTGAATATGCAAATATATCTGAGACCTTACTTTCAATTCTTTTGGATATATATACCCAGAAGTGAGATTGCGGGATCATGACATTCCCTATTCTCAATTTTTTGAAGAGCCTTCAGGCTGTTTTCCATAGGGGGCTCACCCACCAACAGTGCACAAAGGTTCCAATTTCTCCATATCCTCACCCATACTTGCTATTTTTGTTTTTGTTAATAGTAATCATCCTAATAGGTGTGAGATGCTACCTTGTGGTTTGATTTGCATTTATCTGAAAGGTATATTTTTATATGCTTACTGGGCATTTGCATTATCATCTTTGGAGAAATGTTTGTTCAAGTCCTTTGCCTATTGTTTAACTGGGTTATTTTTTTTTTTGAGTTGTAGTCATTCTTCATACCTTTTAGATTTTTTTTTTTTTTAGATGTTAAGGGCATGTTAAGTTGTAGGGGTAACTTAAAAATTCTGGATATCTTATCAGATATATGATTTACAAATATTTTCTCTCATTCCATAGGTTTCTCTTCCACTCTGTTGTGTCCTTTGATGCACAAAAGTTTTTAAGTTTGATACCATTCCATTTTTCTTTTTTTTTTAATTTTATTTATGACAGGCACACAGTGAGAAAGAGAGAGGCAGAGACACAGGCAGAGGGAGAGGCAGGCTCCATGCACCGGGAGCCCGACGTGGGATTCGATCCCGGGTCTCCAGGATCGCGCCCCCGGCCAAAGGCAAGCGCCAAACCGCTGTGCCACCCAGGGATCCCCCATTCCATTTTTCTATCTTTGCTTTTGTTGCCTGTCCTATGGGCCATTTTTGTTGCTTTTGGTGTCGTATTAAGAAATCATTGTCAAGGGATCCCTGGGTGGCGCAGCGGTTGGCGCCTGCCTTTGGCCCAGGGCGTGATCCTGGAGACCCGGGATCGAATCCCACATCGGGCTCCCGGTGCATGGAGCCCGCCTCTCCCTCTGCCTGTGTCTCTGCCCCCCTCTCTCTCTCTCTCTGTGACTATCATAAATAAATAAAAAATTAAAAAAAATAAAATAAAAATAAAAATCTTAAAAAAAAAAAAAAAAGAAATCATTGTCAAGTCCAAAGAAGATTTTTCTCCTACAAGTTTTATAGTTTTAGGTCTTAAACCCATTTTGAGTAAATTTTTGTATATAGAGTAAGATAAAGATCCAACTTCATTTTTTTGCAAGTGGATATCCAGTTTTCCCAACGCCATTTGTTGAAGAGACTGTCGTTTCCCCATTGATTTGTCATGGCACTTACCCATGTGAGGGCTTAAAAAAAAATTTTTTTTTTAATTTTAAAGAAGTTTTAAGTTCACAGCAAAGTTGAATATCCCCTGCTTCCCTGCACATGCTAGTATCATTTTATTTCCTGATGTGAACTTATACTGCCGAGTTTAAAGCTCTTCTTTTCAAATATATGCATTTAAAGCTACAGATCTCCCTGTAATCACTACTTCAGCTCTATGCCATAAGTTATATGTTGTATTATAATTTTGTTAGTTCAAACTATTTTTAAATTTCCACTGATGTCTTCTTTGACACAGAGGTTTTGAATTATGTTGCTTAGTTACCATATATTTGTGCATTTTCTATTTTTTTGTTATCTCTAGGTGAATTTTACTGTAGACACCATGCTCCAATTTTAACCCTTTTAAAATTTTTATTTTTTAAAGATGTTTAATTTATTTATAAGAGATACAGAGGGAGGGGCAGACACATAGGCAGAGAGAGAAGCAGACTCCCTCCGGGGAGCCCGATGTGGGACTCATCCCGAGACTCAGGGATCAGACAACCTGAGCCGAAGGCAGACGCTCAACCACTGAACCACCCAGTCAGTCGTTCGGCTTTTTAAAATTTTATACTTGCTTTATGGCCCTGACTCACAAACCTGATTTTGTTTTGCTACGATGGTGAGTTCAGATGATCTTTTTTTTTTTTTTCTGCTTTGGTCAGTATACACTGTGGTGGTTCCACACTGCTTTTAAAGAACGATAAAATAAAAAAATAATAATAAAAAAGAAAAAAATAAAAATAAATTAAAAAACCCTGAAAACTGCATCCCATTTACCTGGGGGCTCCAGGCTTACACCACAGGGCTGGGATGCGGTCAAAGCCGGAGTACAGGCTAGCTGCACCACCTGGCGTCGGAAGCCGCCCCCCGCCCCTCCCCTTCGCAGGACTGCAGCGCTCAGGTGGCTGGGGTTGGGCGCTACCCGCGTACTTTACAAAGCAGCGGATGTAGCACCCTCACATTTTCCCCACTGGGCGGCTCTTCAGAGGCTATAAAGCTAGCAAGTTCTCAAAACCCAGCAGCTCTCAGCGGGAGAGGGAGCTGGGTAGGGTTCCAGAAAGATGGAAGCAGAATGGCTCATCCCTGCATTTAAGGGAGCACGTACCTTGCGAGGCCGAAGGAAGCAGCGCCTCGGGTGACCGCGCGCCTTCGCCTGGACGGCCCCGTGATCCGCCCGGGGAGAGCGCCTCCGGGACAACCGCTCCCTCCCCCGGCCTCTCCCAGGTACTCCAACCTGCACTGGGCGGGGCAAAGAAGCCCGCCGGGGAACCGCCCCCCACGTGACGGAGGAGAAGGCGGGGCGAGCCCGGGGAGCCTGCGTCGGCGCAGGCCCCGCCCACTTGACGGCGTCGCGGCGGCCCCGCCTCCTCGGCCGCGGGGTGGAGCGCGAGGCCCCGCCCCCAAACCGCCTCTCCTCGAGGGCCAGGCTGGCCGGTGGGGCGGGGCAAGCGGCCGGGAGGGGACTGGAGCAGGCGGAGGCCAGGAAGGGAAAGGAAGGGAGGGGTCACGTGCGGCCAGCGGCTCGGGGTCACGTGACGGGCGCCGGGGAGGAGGGAATCTGGACTGGGAGTTCTCCTGAGGGAAGCGGAGTGAAGTGGTGGGGACGCGGCGGCGGCGGCGGCGGCGGCGGTGCTGACAATGGTGAGTGCGCGGCGGCCCGCGCGCTCGCCTGCAGCCCTGGCCCCAGAGCGCGCGGCGGGCCGGCCAACGGCGGGCTCGGTGTCGCGGGTGCGGCGGGGCGCCGGCTTAGGCCTGGCTGGCCGCGGCGGGGTCGGGGAAGGGCGGGCGGGCGGCGCCGCCTGTTCCCGGTCTCGCCGAGGCCCGAGCACCTGCGGGCGGCGGCGCGCTCTCCGGGCATGTCGGAGCCTCTCCCCGCCTTCCTCGAGCGGCTGTGGGGGCCCTGGCTGGGCCCTCGGACCCCGCCTCTGCGGGGGCGCAGCGCCGCCTCCCCTTCCAAGGTAGCCCGCCCCCCCCCCCGCTCCTTCCGGACGGCCCCGCTTCCCTTCAGGTGGAGCGACCCGGGGGCCCCCAGTTCCGGGCTGCGGGGATGGCCTGGGGCACGCCTCTCCGGCGTGTCACGAGATTGATAAAACTCCGGGTTTTCGCCTTGTTTTTTTTTTCTCTCTCTGGTGACATTTCTGCGATATCTTTGACCCCAGTTCAGCCTTGAGGTTGACACTTGTAGAACGGGAGCGGAAAAGGAAAAGGACATTGAAGTGGGGACGTCTTCAAATGAAAAGACACTGGTTTTGTGCCCGCTGCTTTAAGGTTTGGCTCTCCTTTCCTTCCCCAAGCCATTTTCTAGAAACTTACCGCTTTGGGATGTTGAAATGGCCTAGGGAAGAGAGAAGGGAGGGACGTCCGAGTACTCTAACCAGTCGGTGGGGCACGGTGCGCTTAGCTCTGCGTGTTGGCCGGCTGCTCTAGGTTGGATCTCGTTTGGCTCCCTCCATGGTTTTGATGTAGCGAGCATACGTTGGGCGCCTACTGTGTGCTCCTGCGACTGTCAGCCTCCCCAGAGCTCACCAGTTCAGTAAACTGCTTGAGGCTTTTGGCTGAAGATGAAGCTAGGTTTATTTTTTAAAAAAAAAAAAGCTGTTTTGAGTAAATACATTTTAAACTCAGAAGGCGTGTTGATTTGATTAAAAATCAGAAAAGTAAAGACAGGCATATCCATATCCATTCTTAAACTTGGGGCCTCTTTTTTTTCATGCAGCAAATAATTACTTAGACGTATTCAAGGGCCACTAGCAAAACTGAAACAGCCCTTGCTGTCTTGCAGCTTACAATCTAGAGGGAGGTAAACATCTCTTTGTGTAATTATTTAACGTGGAAATTAACAGCTGTGCTAAACCTAACCAGGAAGTATTGAGAGACCTTGCCTAGCCAGGGAGTTAGGGAAGTCTTCTTTAATTGAATATGATTTGCCAAGAAGACTCAAAAGGCCTTCCCATCTTTTGTCTATTTTAAAAATTACTGCTTTTAATGAGTTTTTGGATTAGTTTAAGAGCACTTTAGTTACTCATCAAACCAAATTGTAAAGCTTAATAATGCTGAAATGGGCATAAATGTAATCTATGCGTGGAAATCTGCTGTTTCATTGCTTGTGTAAATTTTGAGAGCCTCCTCTTCCACTCACCTTGAGTTGCATTTCTTTACATCCACTGGAAGTAGTGAAATTTCTTGAGTGTGAGCTAGAAAGTTTGTGGACTTTTAACATACCCACGTGTAATTTTGCTGGATGGTAATGCTCAATACAGAATTACGAATTATATGAAAAATCTTAAATTAACCCAAAGGTGGTCCCGGGGTTATGCCACAAGTAGAAAACCGTAAAAACAATGCTGTCATCTAATAGTCATAGATATTTGCAGCTTAGTTACTTAAAGTCTACCTGAGTTTTGACTTCTGTATTATTGTCTAATGATGCTCCTGAAAATCTCTCATTCTATATGTTCCTGTGAAGATGTCTTTGCCAGAACTGGGTAATCTTTCGCTTTAAAGTGTCTCTCTTGTAATTTCAGCAGAAGTTTGTGCTAATGTATCCTAACCTTTACAATTTTCATTCCTTTCCGCCTCCTACTAGTCTTCACTATTCTGTCAATTATGTATTTTGTTTTCTCTTTACATATCACGAGAATTATAATTTGTAAGTAAAAGATTTTAATTTTATGACTTTTTGTTTGAAATGACAGAAGCACATCTTGCAATAAAAACTTAAAAAGCAGCACTTTGGGTAGAGAAATCTTTTTCTTTCAACTCCTTCTAGAAGGAAAACAAAAAAGACAGACTTTTTTCTCAGATATTTTTCGGTCATTTGCTTATTAAATGTAAGACATGAACAGTTTTCTGTGGCTTTTGGTAAGACTTGTTCATTTTTTATGTATCCTCGTGTGAAAAACTGGATGTTAACCTGGTGCTAAATTCTAATGGTGGTGTTAACCTTGTTAAAGTATTGTGGCTTATTAGTCAATGTATCATGTGTGTGCCATAACTAGACTTTTTAAAATAGCTTCTGATCTCTCCCCATCTTAGTGTTTTGATTGTGTTGAAAAGTAAGTCTATTTTTAAATTTTTAGTTATGAAATGCTTTGTGCATACAGAAAGTAATAGAAGATAGCACATAGCTTTCACATTTTTTAACGTCTAGTAATTTTTCGTTTTTACTGATGGTGTCAAAATAAGACTGCTCAATTATTGTGTTATTGTGAAGTTTTATAAGACTTGAGTCTCTTTTACATCACTTTATTTATTTATTTAAAAAAGATTTTATTCATGGGAGACTAAGAGAGAGAGAGAGAGAGAGGCAGAAGCAGGCTCCATGCAGGGAGCCTGATTCGGAACTCGATCCCAGGTCCCCAGGATCACGCCCTGGGCCAAAGGCAGATGCTCAACCACTGAGCCACCTGGGCTGCCCGGCATCACTTTATTTAGTGGCAATTTCGGTTTTGTTATTTTTGATTACTTGATTTTTTTTTTATTTTTTAAAAAGATTTTATTTATTTATTCATGAGACACAGCAAGAGAGAGAGGCAGAGACACAGGCAAGAGGGAGAAGCAGGCTCCATGCAGGGAGCCTGACGTGGGACTCGATTCTGGGACTCCATGATCACGCCCTGGGCCCAAGGCAGGCGCTAAACCTCTGAGCCACCCAGGGATCCCCTACTTGATCTTTTAATATCAGCTTTCAAATCCTAAGTTCAGCTCTGTGTGTTAAGTATCCATAAGTGGAAAAAGTTACCATAATATTTTCTTTTATCCATGGAACAATTTTTATAGTTTTCAAATCTCATTTCTCCCAGAAGCAGCTCTGGGATGTATTAAGGCGGAGTGAGAAAATTAAATTTTGTTTTCCTGCTTCTATTTTATATCTTAATTGAGGCTCTTGTCTTCTACCCTTTTATAATTGCTCTTCCCACAGCAACTTCCCCCCACCCTGACTGGCTCTGTAGTTTGTACATGGTTGATAATTAGTAAATATCAGCAGCCTGATTTTGAGCTGTACATTCTCATATCTGTAACCTTTAGAAAAAAATAGACCTTTTTGTGCAAGCTTTGAGTTTAAAACTGAGGCTTGAAAGTATGAAAGCTAACTGGGTACAGTAAATGTGACCATCATTGATTTTTTTTTTTTTCCACTAGAAGTTCAGGATAATTTTCTGATTAAAATTAAATTTTCTGGTTAAAATTGACTTTGTTATTTGTTATGTTGCCAGGAAAGATTAAAACATATCGAAAGGGAAAAAAATGCTCTTTGTGTCTTTGTAGTATGTCAGAAGTACGAATCTGGCATTTCTTTGAGTTGATTCTTGAAATTATAATCTTTCTGTTAATATAGGATTAATAATAACAAAAAAAAAGCAAGCTCAGAATTTAGGAAAACACTGTCTTTGATGGCAGTTATCACTGTGTAGACCTACAGAGTGGATCATTAGCTTGCCTGATGTTATTCTGCCACCTTAGGACAAAACTGAGGCTTGATGCAAGTTCCTCGCTCTAGACTTAGCTACTGCACCAAAGGTAATTTTCTGGGGGAGGTCTAGTCTTTTCAGATATTTCTGATTTAACTCATTTCTTTTGTGTATCCATTTTTTTTTTGTTAGGGCAGTATGTGTTTTTTTCAAAATCAATTTAACTTTCAAAAGGTATTTGAGTGCTTTCTACTACATACATACCACATACTATCCCTAGCTATTATGTCTTCAGTGATGAACAAAAGATGTATCTATCCTCATGGAGTTTACAGTTGAGTCAGGAATTCAGGTATTGAATAAGTACACGTCTATAACAATTGGTGAAGTAATAAAACTACATGGTGTTGTGAAGCCTAAATTTGGAGACACTAGTTTCAATTTAGGAAGGTACAGAAGGCCTCTTTATGGAAATGAGTCAGGCTGAGTCTCAGAGGATGAATTAGGTTAAGGATACTTGGTCTAGGATGAGAAGGAACCTGTCAGATTTGATTAACTTGGATAATTTGAGGCTGGTGTGGCTGGAGAGATGGATAGAGCCAGATACGTGTAAGCCACGTTAGGGAATACAGTGTGTGTCTTTGTGTCTGTGTGTTTTTGTGTACATGAGCACTTGCACACGTGTGTTTAAAATAACATTGAAGTACAGAAAAATGCACAAATAAGTGTAAAACTTGACGTATTTTCACAAAATGAGCATGTGAAATTCACCTGTGTGTGAAGCGCTCAGATAAAAACCAATGTAATTAGCACCCCAGAAACTCTGTGCTTTCTAAC